AAAAGAGACTTCCTGTGTTAGATATGTAGAAATCTGAGTTGGAGTTGAGGCAGGAGGAGGGGCAATATCCATCAGAAATATGGTAGAAAGTGAATGACTCTGGGGGGGGCGGTAAGAAATAATTGAAGAAAGATAATACCCTATAAAATGTAGTATCTCGGTTACTGATGAGAAAGGGATCTAAGGATTTCATTCACCTCAGTTCATGAGAGTGACTGGTTGCTATGCAGTGATCATTCCATGATGTTGTTGCTTCTTCCATGTTTTTGGAATACTAAGTTAATTGCATTTCAAATAAACTAAATGGGCACAGTGCTTCTCATGGAAATATACCATGATTTCTGCTAAATTAAAAACCAAAAGAATTGCAGATGCTGTTAATTGGAGACAAAAAAAAGAAATTGCTGGAAAAGCTCAGCAGGTCTGGAAAGATCCTCAGACAGCAGCTTTGGTTTAAGTGACCCTTCTGAGGATCTTTCCAGACCTGCTGAGCTTTTCCAGCAATTTCTATTTTTGTCCATGTTTTCTGGCATTGCACACCTAATTTCAAATGTCAGATACAAATTCCAACATATGACTATAATTTTGCATTTCTGAGATTTACAAATGATTGTTTTTATGATGGCTATTTTGACTAAAGGGACTGCATAAATAAAATTCTTCTTCAGAAGGTACTGTCTACATTTTGTGACATTAAGGTAGCATAAGAATAAAAAAGCAGATTGAGCAAACTGAAAAACACTTTTAAGAGAAGTACCATGATTTTGATCACTCTAATGATAGTCTCGGCCATGTACCTCACGTCGAATAAAATATTTACAGTGTTTAGCGTGTTCTATATGTTATCCCTTCAAAAGGCATGCAGATATTTTAAAGGAGAAAATGTGCAGAATTTATATCCTAAATAACGCAAGGTAGAACTTGACGAAATCAGGGAGTGACGCTGAAGTGTTACTAAACTTATTTTTTGAAGGGGGTAAGATTGAAAGCAATTGAAATTTTGTGGTTTATAACAATAAACAATAAATTTTGAATTCAATAGAATGAGGTAGGAAGAAGAGCATTTTCAAAAATCCCCCATAATTCTATTGTGAGATGAAAAAGAGCATTTGAGCCAGAATGATCTTCAATCACAAGGATAGACTTAAACACCTTCTGATCTTCAACAACAACAACAACAACAATGATTGGCTGACATCAACACCCTTGAGGAAGAATGGGGGTAGTGGGAACACCATTAACAAGAAGTTTAACCAGTTAGGTCAACAACACGCCAGTCTATATTCTTAGGGAAAAGGCATGAATTACTGATGTCTAGACCCATTAAAGCCTTTCCATCACTTTCAAGGGACAGATTGGGAAATGGATCAGGAGAAGAAGACATCAGTAAATGCATCCTTCCACCATGCTTTGTTAACTCAACATTTTCACAATAATTCAGAGAGCCTTCTCCTCGCCTGGTCAATGCTCTGTAACAATGAAACAGAACAATAAATAAAAACAAAAAATTATAACTATTAAAATAGTTTAAAGATCTTACTTGAGTGTTATCAATCTTGGATACCCTCCTTGAGCCATCTGTTAACATGCTGTATCCTCTATCACTAGGCTTCTTTTCCCTTTTAACCTAATGCATGTGTGAGAGCGTTGGATTATGTATCATTTGTGACAGTTCATCATGTGCACTTGGGTTGTGCTAGAAATTATGGTCAATATTTCCACATGTCACTCTCTAATTAATGGAGGAACGCCATCCCATGTATTGCAGAGTAAGTTTTACATTATTCGTTCCCAGCAACAAATTTACACAAGCAAAATAAATGAGCAGATAACGTAACACAAGTACATTTTTGCTCTTTATTCAATTCTAATAGTAAAAGTTACAAAGTTTTACTATTGACTTGTGAATGTGAGTTTGTCTTCAAAGCATTAATTTGGTGGGCTGGATGGCCTGCTTTTGTGTTGTATCTTTCTGTGAACCTCATCATGTGTGTATTAATCCCACAATGTATTGAACACCGTCAGATAGGAAGCTGAAGAATATTTAGTGCCATTTGTGTCCATGTTTCTTTCGTATCCAAGCTGCCAGAATGGGAGATTGTATTAATCAAAACCACCTAGCCTTGAATGACTTCCTGCAGCCACAGATCTGAGGCAAAAGGAACTTGCAGATTGCAATAGCTTCAACAAAACAATGATCTTAGCCAAACAGCACATGATGTAATTAGATTTGGATCCCAGACAGTGTTTCTAGTCTCCCATTTTCATTCAAAAAGTAATTACTTCTCTTTTAGAGACAAACTGTAACTGATATTTGGTGTGATTTTTAAATCCTGATGGACTAGACTGACTTAAAACAATAAGAGCAGCTAAAGTATTGCAATACTTTATGACCCGATTCAGGGTAGAGTCTTGTGTCTGTCACGGCCTCAAGTTTCCATTAAAAACATCAGCTGATCAATGTGGATGACTCCTTATTTTCCAAAGAGGATCCATCTGGAATACAGAGTACAACCTTTGTTTCCCGTTTTCTGTGTCCGTGTGTTGAGTTTATCAGAATCTGGCAACTGTGCTGGGAGAATTTTGCCCTGCAGCTCCAACTTGTGTAAAGTCATTCATCAACACATTTCTCAAAATCTTACCTAAAATTCCGGAGGGCAGTAGGCAATAACATTAGATTATAATTTCATAGCATTCTCTGCTGAAGGGAAAGATAATGATGTGGTGATAATCTCGCTGGACTGGTAACTCAGAGACCTAGGATAATGGTCTGGAAATTTGGGATCAACATAGCAGCTGAAATAGAAATTTAAAATACAATTAATAAATCTGGAAAATATATAATTAATCTCAGTAATGACGGCCATTAAACTGACATGAATTGTTGTAAAAACCCATCGGGTCATTAACACCTTTTAGGGAAGAAAATCGAACATTCATTTCTGATCTGACTTACATGTGATTCCAGACCCACAACAATGTGCTTGACTCTACCCTCTGAAATTGCCCAGCAAAAAAAATCAGTTCAAGGGCAATCTGCTGGTGTTAAGCCCATGTGAAAATATATTTTAAAATTCTGCTCAGTGGTTTCAGTCTCCTAAAAGACTATAAAGGTAATTTTTATAGAGGTGTTCAAAACCATAAGGAGGTCTGGACAGAGTAGCTAGGGGGAAACTGTTATCGTTGCAACACTAATTTAAGGTGAATGGCAAAAAAAATTAAAGACAACATTTTCATGCAATGTGGTGGCTAAGACCTGGAATGCACTGCCCAAGAATATGGTTGAAGTAGATTTAATCATGACTTTCAAAAGGAAATTGAATAATTATCTAAAGAGGAAATAATATATAGCTATGGAGAAAGGATAGGGGAGTGGACTACATGATTTTGTTTTCACAGAGTTAGAACTGACATATGAATTGAATGGTCTGCTTCTGCACTGTATCCACTCTGTGATTCTAAGGATGATCTTCATTGGAGTGTACTCTCTGAATAGATTCGTCTTTTGTAAGATTTACATACCTGCCTCGTGTAATTTCCTGATACTCTGCATCCTTAGACTGGGAAGGAAAGTTATATGAAAGAGAGCTTTGGCATACTAGTGATTAAGATCTGGAATGCACTGCCTGAAAGTGTGATCTAAACAATCACTGCATTCAAAAGGGGGTTAGACTGTTATTTGAAAAGTAACAGTATGTGGGATTACAGGGAGAAAGCAGGAGAATTACTTTATGAGAAATGCTCATTTGGAGAGCCAATGCAGACATGATGGGCTGGACAGCTTTCCCCCGTGTTGTAATAATTCTTTGATTCTGTTGCAGAATATAGCAAAGTTTTCTTTCTCTGCGTCACTTCTCTTCACTGTGGGTGGCAAGGTGGCTTAGTGGTTAGCACTGCTGCCTCACAGTTTCAGGGGCCCAGGTTTGATTCCAGCCTTGGGTGACTCTGTGGAGTTTGCACGTTCTTCCTGTGTCTGTGTAGGTTTCCTCCCACAGGCCAAGGTAGGCAGGTTAGGTGAATTGGTCATGATAATTGCACTGTAGTGTCCAGGAATATGTATGTGAGGTGGAAAAGATATCGTAAATGTGGGGTTACCTGGATAGGAGTGGCAGGCTGGGTCTGGGTGGGATGCTGTTCAGATGGCTGAATGGCCTCTTCCCACACTGTAGGGATTCTAATTAACATCCTGTACATCTTCGTCCTTCCTTTTGAGGTTCAACTTTCTCAGAGAATAAGGAGTATCTTGTGTGATGGTAAAGGTGATGTTGACTGTCCACATGTACACTTCACTATTGCAAATCCATCTACTAGCTCATGCTATTTTAGTGTCTTGTGACTCAAGTTGAAGTACTATTTGTTTCAAGTCAAACTTAAGAGTTAAAGTTAGAGTTAGGGTTAAATGTGGATGTAGTTAAGATAAAGTGAAATTAAATGAAGTGAGTTAAAGTTGAAGTTTTAAATGAAGTAACAAGTAAAAGTTGCAACAAATTATGT